AGCATTTGAAGTTTTTATGGGGAAATATCTACAATGTATATCAGTTTTACGATTGTTTGTAGTTAAACAAACCCTCTTTGTTTCCTTTAGTCTCTCATGCATTGTAATGTAGTTGATGTACTGTAAATGGAACTGACAATTTTACAGTGTAACAGTTATTTATCTTTGCATAAATGTTTGATACAAAATATTTGTTTAGTATTTATTTGCACACTTAACACAATTTTTGATCCTCAGGCACACAAATTATTTTATTACATATTAACATGGTCACTAGCAGAGATAGCCGCCGTGTTGTGACATCAATCTGATGTGGAAAAATCAAGGATTCATAAAAGTCATTTGATGTCATATAATGAATCCACTTTGCCAGGGAATGGCTGTAACTTTTTGACATATTAGCCCGAGGTGAGCATAAATCACTTGGCAAGTGATACCTCATTAATGAGGTGTCCTTTGAAGGCAGCCATCAGTTGTTATTTAAGTAAAATATTTTTTTACTTTTTCTGAGGAAAAAAAATAATATCACAATGGGCAAAAGTTTAAGATAAATCACTTGTTTCAGTAAATCTTTGTAAAAAAAGACATTAAAGATCATTTAAATATAGCTAATAGTTTGTTAGGAATAATGTAAAGTTGAATCAAAGAGAAGACAAATGGCCGTTCTTGGAAGTGGAACTAATAGATTGATCCCAGCATTACTCAGACTATTAGCTAGAAAAGCGTTAATTATGTTAATTGATAGACAGATTTAGAGGTAAGCTTGATGCATTTAAAGTCATCTTTTAGAGTTATTATCAACATCATTAATGTCCATTCTCTTTCATTCCTTAAGAGTTTTCTGTGCCATAGGAATGGGTTTACAGTCGTTAGGAGGAGCTCTTGGGGTGGTAGCAATAGGTGGCTGATTTGTTGGTGACAGTCTGGTGCTGTAGCAGATAGTTTTTGCTGCAGTTGCAGCACAAGTTCAAGAGCATAAATTTGGCACAAATCCAGAACTACCGCTGGGTGAAAGCTGGGGGAGAGCTGGACAGAAGCAAAAGCATATTACTCTTTGGGTTGCCTACGCTGTGCTAGCTGATGTGGACCACAGCTTTGAACTTCAGAGACAAATGTGTGTCAGTTTTTCTGAGTAGATAAGAAAAAACACAAAACATTCCAAGTTCAATACCACTAATGCTAATTGTGCAATGCTATTACTGCAGCATTCTTGGAAGCATCTTAAAGTTGCTGTTATGCCATGTTTTCACTTCCTCTTTGAAGAAGCCTTCTTCTGTAGTTCAGGTTAAGTGTTGCTCTTCCTACTTACAATGTTTTTTAGTTTTTCCAGTCAGACACAACTTCTTTCTTTACTCAATCCCTTACTTCGATTTCCTTTGTAGTGATTGTAAGTAGAGAGAAAAGACTATGATCCTGTGTGATCACCAAGATCAGAATTGTTTTTCTCCTGGCTTAAGTATTGCTTAATTCAACGGAGGGCAAGAGGTTCCTCTTTCTTGGGAACAGTTGCAGTAAAATCTTTTTGTTTTATGGTCTTGAAGGACTAACTCCACAAAGAATATAGGGAAGGAGGGAGAGCGAAGATTTATATAAAAGTGTTTCTTGGTACTTTGTGCTTATATAGGACGTGTAAAGGTGTAGCAATCGATACCGTGCAGCAATTAGGAGGATGGGAGTATCTTCAGATGTCTTTCTTACAGGGTGAAGGTGATTGCTGGCCAGTTATCAACACGGACCAGTCTTAAACTCCGTGTGAAGGAAGATTGGAAAGTCGCATGCAATGCTTTTATTATAATGAACTCTGATTCTATAAGTAAATAAGAAATACAGGTTATAGGGACAAAATATTTCCATATCATATCGCCTGCTGAGGGGAAGGAAATAGTTTCCTTCTACATGTTTCCTTCACTTAGGATGTCGTTCCTAGATACCAAGTGAAACCTCAACAATCTTAAGAATCCTGTGCAGAAGACTGCAAATGGTGCACAGATCAAATTTGTAGTCTTACGACTTCCACCTTTAGGTAGGTGATTCTATTCCATGCAAAATATACAAATCCCATAATATACAGATTCTTTCATCTTTGTTTGCCTGATTTCCACACACAAAAGGGAGATATGAGTATGGGTGAAAGAGGAAGGGGAGAAAGATAGGTGTGTTTCACGCTTGCAGAGAGAATACCTAGAAATTAGACTTTATGCTGCTACTTCCTGGGGATTTTGTTGGGACTTCCAGAAAAATAACAACAGGTATTTATGTGACATGATCCATTAGTGGCAATAGAATTGCTATTTAAAAAGAAAAAAACCCCAACAAACTCAACAAAAGACCCCAACCCTCTCTATCCTTCATACTCACATTAAACTCTACAAAATGGAGAAAGGAAAATGATTTCCAATTTCAGGTGACAGATTTCATCAACTAGAGCCACTTTGAATAAGCTTGTTGGCTTTTATGTACAGCTATGAGGTCCCCTCGTGGTGACCACATTCCCTTCTGCTCACTGCCTCTCTAAATCTCTTCCAAACGGCAGCAGTAGGTGAGGCTAGGAACTAAAGGATAAACAGTAAACATTAGTTAGTCCTCAGATGGATGGCATGGCTTCAGTTTGGCATTCTTTTTAAAAAACGTTATACTCCTACCACCCCCTTTTTCCCCAGGGAATATAATTTTTCTTTTTTTCCATAGTGATCTTGGCCTTTTGCAAGCAAGAAGCATCTGAGAGTGAAAGCTCTTGTTTCCTCCTTTTATCTTTTAAACTTTTTCGGGTGCAAGCAAGTGGAAGTCAACGTCAAGCTCCCACCGCCTATTTCAAAGCATCTTGGACCTGACTCAATTGAAAAGAATCCATTCTGCCCATGTGTTTTAACGTAGTAACAACTGGTTTCTCCACAGGTTAATATGCAGGTAAATGAAGTAATGAATGCTGAATAAAGGCTAGAATGTGGTCAACTAAGGTTATGTTAGTTTTATCTAGACATAAATTAGTTGAAATAAAATGTTTATTTCTAGTTATACTAGTCTATATTACATATATGTTTCTATACTAGAGTTCATATTTTTTTTAGTCTGAGAGGATGGCTTATTAACGTATACCTCAAAATACATCTATGCTTCTTATTTTGGGAAGCAAAAAGTGCACATAAGTAGAAGTATATTACTTTATTTCTGGGAAGCACGTTTTCTGGTTACTGGATCTGCTTTGAGTTGGATCTTGTATTTCCTTAACAGACTGCAACACCGTTTACAATAGTGATGTATGGTAAGTAATACAGAAATCATGTCACATTTTAATTAAGCATTTTAACATAATTACTTCATCCAAACCAATTTATACTGATAGCAGAACACACTTTCTTTTCAGTGGCTGTTTTCAAGTGAAGGAGAGTAACAGGAAAAGCAGTAGTCCACTACGAAAGATAGGATTTGCAACTTTAACACTTTCATGTTAAAAAGTGTGTGGTTTATATGAAAGAAAGGGTCTAAACCACCTTTTATCTCTCTGGCATAATTCCATTTGTCTGTGTTCCTTGCAGTCACAGATGTATTGATAGAGCTAAATATTTTAGTCTGGACCTAGTCCTCTAATGCTTATGAAGACCTGAAAACAGTTTGGGACTTGATATTTTTCTTATCAGTGACTACCAGCCTGTGCTTGTAAGCTAGCCTTCTATTTTGAACACTTCATTATATGCATTTAGCATTGTAAGCACGAAGTGTGGGAGCTCCTTACAAAAACCATACATCTGTGTGTATATGAGTTGCGTAGATAGACATAGACAGTAAGTTAGAATGCATTTTGTATTTTCATGCAGTACTTTGGAATTAAAAATATATAAAATTCCAACACTAGGCTGAAAATAGAAATAAAGGAAATGCATCATATTACACTAACATTAAGACATCATTGAATTTAAGGCTTTTCAACAAGTAGACAGACATATTTTAACAAAAACCTATTTAGAAAAGAGCTGAAGAAGATAAACTTTTTCTTCATATTCTTTCCTCTTTAGAATGCTGTAATGGGCTGTTGTGATAGATTTTATACAAAGCACAAAATCAGTATTAAAAGTCACCAGTACAGAAAAAGCATGTAATATATCAAAAGAACCCTATTACTTTTTATGCACCAGAAATAGCTGATACTCATTATTGTCAGATGTTTTGGAAAAACATTACTTTTTATGAGAGGAAGTTTCAGTATTGTGAGCCTGTGCTTGGGTGTACACAAGCATGTATCTATAATTGCTTGAATGATTGCCAAAGCGTTTTACCTAAAAAGAAAACTAAAGAGCTATATTCAATTTGTTATTTAACTCTATTAATTCCAAACGAATTACACAAGAGAGAACTTTTGGCTTAGATTAAGTTTATTCATTAGAAAGCAGCATAATACATGATCAGCCTTTATGCACAATCTATAAACCTAATTCCAGAGTTTTTTGTAATAGACAAGACAGAAGAACTCTCAGGAGCCTGGTTTAAACAGATAATGTGTACCTTCATTTTGATGTGTGGTGAGATTACTGACAAGAGTTGACTATGCATTGGAATGAAAATGCACGTTGAAAAATACGTGGTAAAAACATAAAACCAGATAATGTTTGGCCTGAAATTAAAAATATAGACCATTCTTCAATAAAGCATTTGCAGTTTGCAAACTTTTTTTTTTTTTTTTTTTTTTTGCTGCCCATGCTTTGTAAAGCCATCCACTATGCATTTAATGCACTGGTATTCAAAGAAACTGTTTCCCCATGGTCTTGTATAAAAGAAAAAGTAAAATGATGAGACTATTTATTAACAAAACCACAGCATCTGTTTTGAAATATTGTTCTTAATTGGTATTGGTGTTATCATTTATTAATATTTCCCTCCCCCAAATTTAAATATTTATTCAGTTTCTCTATCTGTGAGATTGGAATGCCAGTCTAGTTTACATCATTATAAAGTGGCTTGCTTTCAACCTTTAAATTCTATTTCTATGATTAACAAATATCAAGCTAATAGATGATATTTTTGATCCAGTCCACAAACATGGTGACTCGAACATACACTCCTGGTCGTTCGGGAAGTGCACACTCATAACCGAATGATACCACACCAACCAAAAACCACTTGCTATCTTCTTCGGATGTCAGAGGGCCACCTGAATCTCCCTGCAATAGGAGATTCAGAAGTTAAAAGTGATCAATGTCAACTCTGAAGCAGAACGTCTTTATAATCTTTTGTTTGTTTTGATCCTTAATCATACACATTGTATCTCTATATGTCTTCGGCACCAGAAATGAGATCAATAGGAATTCTTCCATGTGGAAAAATTCTTGAAATAATCCATTTCCTTTTTTTTTTTTTTAAAAAAAAAAAAAGGATATGATCTTAAGCTCTTAGTCTTTCAGTACAAGACTAGGTTTCAAATGATTTTTTTTGCTTGTTACTTTTATGTTTAGCCCTTCACCATTCACAAAGCCTGGGTAAACATGTAAGATAATTTTTTAATTAAATCTGTTCAGCCAAAATGCAGTTCTATTTTCTTTCACCCCAGAGTTTCTGCAGTTTCAAACTTGGAGAAGAAGATGGCCAGATTGCCAGAAGAGGAGGTGTCCTTTTATCACACCTCCTTCTCAACGGTTTAGCAGAGGTAGCATTGCAATAGAGTGTGAGAGGCCAAATTCTATTCATCCCACAGCCTGAGTGGGGAGGATGAGTCAGCCATGAGTGTCCTGTTTTGCTGAGAAAGAAAACAATGACTGTTTTTCGTTGTCTGTTGAGCTAGTTGAACCAGTATTAATTTTGTCTTCTCACGGTCCTGTGAATGGAGCTTTACAGGAGAGTCCTTCAAGCACTTGGCCATTAAAATACTTCTGCCCGTAACTCTAGGGCATCTGCAAAAGTTCAAAGGCTGTGACAGCAGCCTAAAGGCTGAAGCACTAGCAGTTTGTCTTTGCTCATGGTTCAGTGGTCATTGATCACAACGCTGGTCACTTGCACTCTATATCAGCCTATGGTGCTACACCGCTTTTTTTCAGTATGAGGTTCACAAGGCAAAAAGGACAGAGGAAAGCCACAGAGGCTGCAGGAATGGCAAGTGATGCCCAGGAAGCAGCGTATGAGATCAGTGCAAAAAGGCAGCCTTTCCAAAATACTGTGGATCCACTTACAAAAGGTCTCCAGCATCTATGGATTCTGGGGAAAAGCATCATTAGTCTCACTTTTTCCCTGCATGAAGCATTTCTGAGACTTCAGTCTATTTGGTATTTATGTTTCTGAACTCTGCTTTTCCCTAAGCATGTCCCTCTTTCCTTCATGGAATTATTCATCAGTAATTATTCAATGCTCAGTGCAGAAAATTTCCAGTCCTCGTATTTATCTGCCTCCATGGTTGTTTATGTCAAGATGATACAGAGTAGATTTTTTTCAACTTGTGTCCTGATAAAGTAATAAATGGACATAATACTCTGAATGGAAATGGACAGTGATTGTCCTGGTTTTAATGACTGGAGGATCAGGGAGCATTTTATTCAGTAATTAGACGTGGTGTATGCTAACACTGGAAATGAGTCACTTGTGTTTACCTGACAGGAATCTACTCCTCCAGCGTCGTATCCCGCACAGATCATGTTCTCAGTAATATTATATTCTGGCAGCTCTTGTTGGCATTTTTCATTTGAAATGAGAGGAACCTGTGCTTCTTGCAATATATCTGAAGTGGGACCTGATGAAAATACAAAGTATGTTTACCTGCTCTAATAAATATGTACATCCTGCTCGGAACACCGGTGGTTTTGTTCCTGTTCTGGCATGCTGGGCACGCTACCGAGCAGCTGGAAGCCCTGCCTCACCACTGTATTATTCAGGCTTATACCCCTGTAACACAGTCACTGATTAAACGTTGCTCATTAACCAAATTCCGTCTTTCATTTGTGTAATGGGACTGAATTTGGTTATAATTAAATCAAGATTACTAAAATCAATGACTGTGAACTCGCTGTGGGGAGATCTAAGGGATAATTAAGGGCTTAAGAGCTTGGATTGTCCAATGTTTTCTCACTGTTCATTGTGTAACTTTAATTGAGTATGTCGAGTTTTTATAAAAAATTCTGTTCCTAATTCCTACCCAAAATTTTAAATGCAATTTTATTCTGAAAATGTAGAGACAAGTGTGTACAAGCAACAGTTGAAGTGAAATGGCATGTTTACTATTTCACAGAGACTCCAGATCTGGAGCATGTGATATACAAACAGAACATACATTTCACACTACAGTCAGTATTCTTGACTTGTGGGGAAAATCATTTGCACATTGTCAGAAAAACTAATCTTCCTCTTCCTCCCCCACCCGATATCTGGAAATAAGAGGTATATACTTCATTTCTGAAAAGTAGTTATCATAATGTCTAAGAGGATACAATAAGTTTTTTTCATGATTTAATGATCTTAGATACATATATTTTTTTCTTATAAATATATTATAACTCTATTACTTTGCCTTAGAGAAGGAACAGTGGAAGGGGATAGTTCTCAAATTTTCATATGGAGGAGTTCCTCTCTGAACTGTTTGACCATAGCAGCTCCTGTGGAATCAGGAGCAAGCCTTCCCCCACAGCTTTGTGGCTGTCATAATTTTCCAAGCACATGACCCACCATCGTTTGTAATGGTACCCCAGCCAGCAATGGAGCAGTTAATTCCTGGTAAAAACTGTTGATTTTTTTCTGGTAAGCAGATAGGTTGTATGTAATCTGTGAATGAGAAATAAGCAATCAATTTTGACCTCTTCCCTGTGTTCAGGTTTTTATCAAGTCACATAAGAAAATGTGCATTAATTCAAACCCACTTTTTGGGCAAGATATCCAGGAAGAACTGGACTGACTCCAGAATGATTAGGTTGTAAAAAACGTACAGCCACCCCATCACCCTCGTACGTTCAGCACAGTTAGCGTTTTTCATGGTAGAAAATATTATGGGAAAATAGCAACTCACCTGTATATTGCACTTCGTCTTGAAGGTGCATGAGAGCAATATCACTATCTTTTGTGCTCTTCATGTAATGAGGGTTTATAACTATTTGATCAATGTTTTTAACTACTGTTGAAGGGTCTGTCATATCCGATTGAGCATACAAGCCAAGAACTGCTTTCCATTGAGATGGATTTAATTGCCTCCTGGAAGTTGCAAGGAATATTCACAATTATGAATGATTAATGAAAATTTTGAAAAATACGTTAGGTAAAATGCTGATCTTTAACCTCATGGCAATTCAAAGCATTTGCACGTTTTGTCAAACTAAATAGACTGTAACAGATGTGCTTAGAATTTTGTGATAGTAATACTATCTTAAACATCCACACTGTAGAAATACGTGGTTGATTTTTTATGTTAAGCTTATAATGCATTATTTATGAAGAATTAATCAGACAGTAGTGCAGAGGAGGAAAATACATTAACTACCTTATTATGGCTTTTTAAACACAGTGAAGAATAGTGCTGACTGCTCAACAGGCAATTAATATTGGTCCCAGTTAGAAAATTATTATGGAATATCTAAAGAATAATAGGTCTAAAATATTGTTGGAAATGCTGCAGCTTATAGACTCAGAAAATTGGTCTCTTAATTTTTTATCTAAATCAAAAAAGATACGTTAAGACAAAATATGACATAATCTGCCTTTTTTACTGAGCCACGCATGCTGGTTTGAGACTGTGTTTAAGTTACATAGCTTAATTTTTTGCTATTTTTTAATCAACCAGTTCATAATTTCAAAGATGTTTTCAACCTGATTGTTGTACTGAATTGGTTTTGGATGATCTTTTGACATCAAGAGATTATCTTGTTCTAAACTAGGAGTGTTTAAGTTAAATGTTCAGAATTAAGATGTGAAACTCCCACTGAAGAAAATTCCAACAAAGCCAAGATGATAAATTGAGATTTAAGTGAAAATAAAAGGGTCGTTTAAGTTAAAAGGAAGTATAAAGGCAGGTATGGATTTATTGTGTGAAAACTGAAGGGGCTTGATCCTTCTCATTTCAGTGCCTTTGTGTGGAATGTAGCTCCTGTCATGCAATGAGGCAGCATTAAATGTACTGGCATAGTCTCCACTGCCTTACTACTTAGCTATTTATAATGGAAGCTCTACTGTAATTTTTGAATATTAATGTTTGGTTTGGGTTTTTTTTTTGCCATTCCAGTTTCTACGTGTCTTCTACAGCACTTGTTTTTACTATGGATGTTAAGGAAGCAAACCCTAGAAAATATTTAAGTATGCATCACTTCTTTGAATGGTATTATTTAAATACCATCTAGAGGGTATCCGGTGTTGCCTGGTCAATGCACATAAATCAAGATTCTTTCCAATGATGCACAGTAAATCTTGATCAATCTATGATAATATACAGGAGGAAGAGGCCACACTTTTTTGAGTTTACCTTTAGGAGGTATGATGTCATCCTTCATACCACTGGCAGAGATTCAACTAGTTAATGGAGGCCTGCATTAGTGATGGGTAAAGTGTAAATGCTCGGTATTAATACCATATATTTAAAGTGCAATTCTTCATTGGGCAGAAAATGCTGCTTAGTTTCCATGATTCTCTGCTTTAGAGTAAGGACTGAGGGTTTACCAGAAAGTAAAGGAGACTTCAGCTGAGCCCAGAAGTGATTCAAAATACAGTAATTAAACAATGAGCTAGTTGTTAATTTTTTATATCAGTGTCACAGATTACTCATAATCTGATGCCTCCTTAGCGAACCCGCACATAAAACAAGTGTTTCATCATCATAAAAATCAAAAAGAAAATTCATCGCGTGGATGTCATATGGCCATCTCAGCTGGTTGGAAAGGTATTCTGGAGTTAGCAGAGAGAAAGCAGCACTTGTGAATTTATATTAATTTCATTCTAGCGTAGACATCTTGAAACCCTCTAAAAAGTGCTGCTCCCCAGTGACTTCAGTATGATCCTTTGAAAGTGTATTTTGCTCTATACAGGATTGATCCACGGCTCAAGTCATACTTCCAACCCAGCTTTGCTGACAACTATCCACCATTTGAATACTTGCATGTTGTGGAAATGTCAGCATGTTTTAGCTTTTGAGTGCAGTGAACATTACCCATATACACAGTGTGCTGCCGTCACCAGCCATTCATCACTGACAAGGGAGGCTCCACAAACAGGTCTGGAATTAAAATGGAGTGAAACTATCCAAGGCCAAGCCTCTCTTCTGGCATCACTTCCACCTATAATCCTTGTCCTATTGTTCTGAGTTAGCACATGTTTTCCACAAGCTAAAATTAGAAAAGAAAAAAAAAAAAAAAGAAAATTGTAGCTTTTTAGGGGGATGTAGCATGTTTTATTAGACTAGCTAATATTTGTGGAAAAATAGGCTTTATAGTATCTGAACTGCTATTTAAAAAAACTGTTATTGTGGAAAAAAGTTTGGTGTTTTATAGCTGAAATCAAGATGCCACTTTATAACTTGGATTTAGACGTGTTCTTTCTCCCACCCTCTGGATTTTTTATTTATGTATTTTCAGTATAGACCCATCTCTAGTGTATACTTAACTCTGAAAACAAGTGAAGACTGTAAATTTTCTTGTGTTTCTATCATTATGAGCATAGCTTTTATAGCCCATTCCCTAACCTTTCAATTCAAACTATAAACATTAGGCTTTATGGACTGAACAATTTGATTTGTGTGTGAAATATTCCCAGGGTATGTGTACTTACGTTTAATCGTACATTGCAGATGAACCACCAGGTTGTTCAAACAGTGTTCTCTAGAATGAAAGTGCAATTAAATCACAAGTATCTGCACAACAGGTAACACTAAATGACTGTCAAATATACATACATAAACACATACACATATAAATAAATGTATATAAACATATATATACACTTTTATATATATATGAGTACATTAGTTTATCAGTATCAAACTGGTAAATACAGTTTTTTCTATTACATGTTTTAATTATGTTTTAATTACAAATAGACAATTTTATGTCAGATATGGTATTAAATGTACATATTCCTCTTCAATGGACACTTGATTGGTGTATGTTGCAGAAATAAAAGTAGACTTTCCTTGTGTTTCAGGGAAACGAGTCATCTGTCCGTGACAGATTCTTGATAAAATTGTAACTGCATATGGTAGTTTTTCTACCTTTTGAGATGTTTTCATTACCTTACCACTAGAGATCAGTGTGACCAAAGAATTTAAGAGGTTAGTTTGATATCACTGTATCTTTTTACTAAGATTATAATGCACTGCAAAATATATAGCTGCATATACAGGGTTAGAAATTATTTAGCAGAGATATAAAGCCAGAGACTGAAGAGCACAAGACCACAGATCAAAACTGCTCAAGTATTTCTGATTCCCAGAGGTTCTAGGATTATCTTCATAGCTTGTAATGAAGCGGAACACTTGGGACAGTGTGCGTGCTGGAAATTTAAATCTGATACACACAGAAATATATCAGAGAAAAAAAAAATCTGCCAACAGCTAGTTTACAGTATGCATTTCCACATAATTTTTAAATAGAAAAAGGGAAGGATACTTTAAATGTGATAGGGTATTATGTATCCCTCACTACGTTTGCTCTACGTGAGGGAAATAATGCATAACATGACCCAGTATTTTTGCAATGGCATAGAGGTGCAAGAAGGACAAGTGGGAACTCTAACCACCTCCCGCCACCCCCATTACGTTATCACCACAGAGGGGGTAAGAATGAGATTTGCCTTCAGCCCTGAATAGTCTCACATAGCCATTTTCCACTTCAAGATAGATGCATAATTTTAAAGCTGTAATTTGAAAGGTGGAAACCAAATTTTATGATTTGTATTGAAACCTGTATTGACTTCATTAGAGTTTCCCTTGGTAGTGAGACAAACATCAAGAAGGACAACCAGAAATGCATAAACCCACAGGGAATCAATACCATCTTCTGCATAAACTTCGTAGCATCTAGATACTCTTGAACAAGCGCCCTCCATAGGCTTCATAAGGGTGATCAGTGGTACTGTATATTAACTCCTTTATCCAGGCCTACGCTTTCTCTTAGGTAAATGCATAAACTAGCCAAACTAACACCCAACATATCAGATTTGTCCCTATTTTTTTGTGCATTGAAGCAGGAAGTCACATGTAATGAAGATCTTTGTTCTGCCACCAGTATGTACTGATTGCTTCAGTAGAAATTACTTCATGGGTCTCTGCTTTTTCTTCTTTCTGAAGCTATCTCCCAGTATGAAAACCACTTCCTTGCCTGCACTTCAATTCACCAGTCCTCAACTGCCTCTCGGTCAGCACAGGACAGTCCAAAAGGCGACAGAGATATTGCATGGGCTGAATACCCATCCTGTCTGCCTCTTTGAGTGTTATCTAAGCAGTAGCACACCGAGCAGAAATCTGGAGTAGCTGGGACATCTGCGAGAATAATCTTCACTTAGGACTGGCAAAACAATTATCCCTCTGGAATCTGCTCATATATATGTTCAAGTCAGGATTTTGCCCTGTTACAAAGTTATCCTGCCAAGAAATACATTTCCTAAGAGCATCAGAGAACAGTTTTGCTCTCTCTGCCATCACAGCTTTCAAGTCCTATTATATGTGCCCTCTGTTTCAATGGTAGTTATGCTTGAATAAAGACCAAAGACGATGTGAGAAAAACACTTTATAATTTGATAATCAGTTAATGAATTTTGTTTTCTTTAATTATCAAATTTGTATGATCTTTCTGTCATTCATCATATGTATGAAAAAAGTCTGTGAATCTGTAATGGTGTCACCCTGTAAAATGATTCCTATTGGCTGTCCAGATGAAACATGGTAGAAGATAGCTATTTCTGCATCAGAAATACAGCTGAGATGAATGAACTTATTCCATTTCCTCCTGCATTAATCACTTCTTAGTGTTTAATAGATATTAACAGAGACACCTTTAAATCATTACTGCTCTTTAAGATCTCTTGTGGCAATGCTGGTTTAGACATATGCTCAAGAAAAAAAAGAAAAATAGCTTGCAATGATATTCCATTAGTTTAAGATACTTTCACCACCAGTGAGAATGATAAATGTTTGGGATTAACAGAGTAATTAGAACATAAAATGTACAGTTTTAAAATATTTTTTTTTACTGTGGATAAAATACAGCATTTCAAATTAAGAATTCTCTCCTGCTTTGTTACTATGTGGTATGTTTATAAAGGAAACCTAAAAGAACATGGACTCTTGCCATCTTCAACATGGTTTCAGCGTTTTAGCAATTAGAGAGTAATTTTCTGCCTCAGTGCTTTTGGTAGGATTCCAGGAAAATGTGTATAATAAGCCCTCTTATAGGCAGAAAGACAGTAATTGAAGTCATTATATATATATATATTTTATTTGATGATGCCAAACCTTTCTCCTTTTGGAGGTGTGCCGTGAATCCCAGAATTTCCTGAGAATAAAATCCAATGCTAATGTTACATTTTCATTTAATCTACAAGAAACTCTACCAGTTTGTGGGATCCTTCAGAATCACTTTAGCTGTTATTTGGACTAAGAAAGATTAGAATATAATCGAATGTATTCTAACAATCATCTGATCTAATGATTCACTTCTAAATGTGGAGACAAATCCAGAAGTAATTTTTGAGTGGGATTAATTTGTCTAAATCCAGATACCTGTCTGTAGATTGCTTACCTTAGCAATCCACACTTAGTCCTAAGTCTGTATTAATAAAGTCAATGGATTATAGAGTGTAACTCATTATATTTCAAGAGATGTCTTGATGGATCGCAATTTGGAGTGCTTTTTTTTCTCTGTTGATTACAGAGAGGAGCTACTGTGATAACTACTATATAATCATGGGTGAATGCCACTGCATTTTAATTACTATATTATATCTTCATAATTTAGGTATTGCTAGATAAGACATATTTTGTAAAAATAGCAGTATTTATCGTTTCCACAGTAAATGTATAAAAACTTCACTTACTTAAGATTGTACTGAATATTAGCCAAGAATGTAGCAAGCATCTCTCTCCTTTCAAAGTTACAAGAGATGGACAAGAATGGAAGAGGGAAGAGGAAGTTGTCCAACATCACACAGAATTTAGCAGTACACAGAGAATAAACCTAGATGTGTTTATAGTCCAGACCTCATACCAAATCGTCTTACCTCTCAGAGAAGCTTGAGCTAGAAATTAGTGTAGAAATGATCACCACCATACTTTAAGTTATCCTTTGCATGAGGAAGAAACCTCACTCTACCTACCTTTTTGTAAATATTAGACTGTAGTTATCTGCTTTGGTGATGTTGACAAAGGGGCCATCTCCAGTGAATAATACAGTTGATGACACATTTGCATCCCTGAAAGGAGAAGACACACATGCGTATTTTTAAATATTTGTCCTGTTCCACCAATGGAGGAATGTTTGGGAAATGATTATGCTGGTGGAATAAACTGCATCATTTTTTTCCCTGAAATAATGACTGTTTATCAGGAGATTTTCGAGGCTTGAAACTTATGTGGATTGAAATGCAACTCACCTACTTTCACTCTTACATCTTATACTAAGATTTCTAACGCTACAATAATATTGAGACAGAAATGAATTATTCTACTAGCAGTAAATTACCAATTCTTTTCTGTGCCACAATGAAGGGTTTGCAGTACCAATTCTTAAATGTATGAAGTTAAAACTTAGTGTGCAAAATGGAACGATGATAGCAGAACCTTGGAATATCAGAGTTTTGCGTTTTTGAGGGAGCAGGCAATTACATTGATACGATACCTCTGTGCCTAGAGAAGAAATGAAACTATATCACAAAGAATCTAATAGAATAAACGCTGCCTTCCTTAGAAGTTAGCTTTTACTTTGCAGATCTGTTGAAATCAAAATAACTGTTTGTAGAACAAATCAAGGGTGTCATGTTTGCTATTGAACAGGATAGTTCCTCTGAAATGGGATGTACTCTTCGACTCACTTTTTTTGTAATGATGGCCTTTTGAACACCAAGAATTCTGTGTAATATTGATGAGATGAATTGTTTTGATGTTTACAACCCATATCCAGATTTACTTTATAGCCCATTCTGTATCATATACATTGTGATCTGCTACTCTCTTAATTAATTTCTTGGTAAATGATGAGAGTGAAGCATTTCTGTAAGCATAAGAAATCATATGCTTTTCCTAGACATACTGAGTTTAGTAACAAGGATATAGTTCTGCAGGTCCAGAAATGCAGTGTCACAGGTCTTTAATTTCTCTTAGTGGAAACTGTCTTTTAGAAATCTTGTATGTTGTGGAAAAAGGGCCTTTAAGAGGCTAACCTAGGTGTTAAGTAACCCTCGTTCTATTCAACATGCTTACTAGGCAAGACTTACAGGAAACTTAGAGAATAGTCTTAGACGTTTCTTACATGCAGATCTACAGACATATCTGTGCAGTGAATTCTGCAGGTATTGCTGGTCTTTATGTACCTGAATATTCCATAGATCACTATGATTTTAGTCTCTAACTGCCTCAGATGTGCTCAGTAACAATTAGCAGTAGCAAATGTTGGGAAAGATTTAGATGATGTGGTACCATGCTGAAAAAATATTCAGAATAAGGATAGAAGTGCAATTGCCTGATAGCTACAATTGTTTTCCATGTTTAAAAAACCCAAACAACGTATTTCTTATTTGAAGAAAATTTGTTCGCACATTTTGTAATTCATTATTTAGTTCTCGGGCTGTGAGATGTTTGCAGTATGTTTAATTTGTGTTTGAGTCACAGGGCACTGTTTCTGTTTCATCTGCTGATTTTCCAACAGTTAGAAAAACAATGAAGAATAGTAACAAATTACAAATATGGAACACTTCCTTTGGCATAAAAAATCTTTGTTCACATATGTATTCATATGAAAAGCTGCTGTTTCTAAATGCTTGTGTGCACACAATTTTTAATGAAAATTTGCCAGTGATAAATAAAAGTAATCTCTATACTTTCTGGATTTGAAATGAAGCTTCTAAAGCAGCGGGTTTAAGCTAAGTTTACTAGCAGTGTCTGATCCTAAGTGAAGCTGTGGACCTACAAATCCAAAAAAAATCACTGAGACTCCTTCTGTGGCTTTCAGGTCAAAGTGCACATTATTACTTGGTGACAACTGACATGAAATTAGATCTATCGCCAAATTGTTAGGATTATCCTAATTCTGGTCCTCGATGCTGCCAACACAGCCTGAACACACTGAAACCCAGGTTGATTCTTACATCCGGCACAGGGCTCTCATTGGCTTTACCACAGAGTAAGTTCATGCTATCTGTTTATTATCCTAGTTTATCCATCACAATAAAAATTTTTTGTGCATAAATTTTGGGGGATCATTTCCACTCCTTTCAGGCCATATGCTATATTCTCAGCACACTGGAGAACCTGGGTCTGACAGTCAAAGACAGGATTTTCTGAGGTGTCTCAAGGAGCTAGGCACGTAGGTACTGCTCACCGTCCATAAATGGGGAGAATGAAAAACTAATTGACCTGGAAATTTCAAGCAAGACATTGTATTCCAGTGAACTTCCTCCTCAATTCCTTTTCAAGAAATTTGCGAGTTCATGAAGAAAATAGTCTGCAGCGTTTAGAGCAAGTCCTAAACTCTCTGTCCTTGTTGGACTGTTCGGTATGGCAAAATTGCAAGGTCTAACCACATTCCTAGGTACAATTCAGTAAAGACCCAGCTGTCTCTGATCCCAGAGAAACAAGCATGTTTAACACCAGAGCAGCAGAATGGTGAAAAGCTCAATGTATGCTTTTGTTGGTTCAAGCAAAAGCAATGCTAACAATACTCAGATTTTAAGTGTTGTGAGGTGCACACAGTTACAAGTGCAAGCTGAAGAAAGGATCTTGTTCAGGTTTCTCAAGAGCATCAATTTGTGCACCTTGCACTCCAGACTCATTAAGAATATTTGTAAGTGATTTGTCTAAGCTATATTTTGAAGATGAACACACAGATGAAAACTCCAGATTTGCTTCCTGTTTGGCACAATCACAAATGTGACAGTCACATGTTTTAAAAATTGAAGCAAAAGGATTCATATGTGTGATTTATTAGAATCTGTGTGGAGCACTGCACTTTCTAGCCCAGCTACATAAATAACCACGACATGCTACAGGACTCCTATCATTTCAGTACTTTTCATAAATTGAATAGTGAATAAGACTAGCAAATGTGTAAGCAATTAACAGCAAAAGTAGATTGTCCTAGATGAACCTTAGCCTTTTTCTCTAATAAAGCATGATTCTAGGTAATTATTCAGTATAGAAGCATGACCTACAGCATACTCAAGACCTGTTACTACATTTAGTAACAAACACGATGCCACTAATTAACAAATATGCTTCTACAGCGGGATTTGTGGAAGGCAGAAATAGCGTGATGCTTACAGGAGTGTTATATATCTGTATATATGAGAATTTTATCCTATTCTGTAGCATCAGTAACAGCAGTAGCACCTAGGATATGAGAATGTGATGCAATTTAAGTTTAAAAATACTTTTTCTTGACAATAGGAATACATAATAAGCTGAGAAATTGAATTAAAAAGAAATAACTAGGAAATGTAATAGGAATTTTTTTAACAAGTATATATGAGTAGTTTATAGAGACAAACTGAAATGCATTGCCACAGAATGTTATGGAGACAAAAGTATAAGTAATTTAAAAAATGTAATAGAAAATACCATGGAAGGCAAAGTTCACTGAAACCTATCAATATAAAAATGTAAATTAAACCTCTAGACCACAAAATGTCTGGTGTCCAGAAGTTACAGAGGGAAAGGAGGCAGGGGATGAAGAATAAGAGGAAGAAGGCTACTAGCCACTGTGAAGGATGAAGTATTTGATTAGAAGAACATTTAGTCATAGTATGTTCTTATGTGCATACATAAATGAGATAACTACATACATAAATTACAATCAAGATTTGTGCATTCAGGTAGCTGATACTTACGGAAATGAAGTACCTACCCAAAGGGAATAAAGTTAAAAAACAAACCAGGACACATTCATCCAACGATTAAAAATAATTTCAAATAGCACTTGGATATTTTTCTAAGTCCTCCCAACTCTGTGATTTCTACAATTAATTTATCAGAAGGGCATTTGCAGGCATCCTACTTTGGTCAAAGACCAACATAATGAATTACAAGCTTAGAATTTAATGTGATTATTACTTGGATGAGTGACATTCCCCAAAAATCTCAACACTGTAGGAAAGCTATTTATTATTCAGTGTATGGCAGCGAAGTTGCATACAGTGTAAGGAAGGCCAGAATTTAGGCCATAAATTTTACAATGGATTGAAAAATATAACACTTCTACACTCAACCCTTCTCATGTCTTCCCTGGAAATTCTTCTGAGCAGTGGCTGAAGACAAATCTATTTCTTCAGAAATATACTTCTCTCCTCGTTCACCTCTCTAAGTGTACCTCAAGAAAAATACAGCTTCCTCTTCCAACAGCTCAGGTCTAATCATAAGTATGAAATGTATTGGGAGCCCAATGGCAGAATACCCAAGTGAGTATCCTGAATTTACTGGAAACTAATGTTAGTGTGATTGCAGAGCAGCTGCTGTTTGCTCCAGCTTTACTCTTGAGCCATCCTCATAGAAGTGAAGATGTAAATGATGACATAATGCTATAAAAGACTAATACATCCACATCAGTCTCCCAGTGTTCTCCAGTATGTATCCTTATGCCTAATCTGCTGTATTTAGAGTCATCAATCCTGTAATGAATGCCATCAAAACAGGGTTTGCAAAATTTAAATTTGTTGTCACACCAAGCACTTCACTTGTCACAGAAATATACATTTGCCCTCTTTTTGGACGGTAAAGACACCACTAAAATGATGAGGAAAACACCAATATACATATTCCACAAACCTGCAAACGAGTTACAAGGACAATGAATATTTTTCACTCACCCTAACCCCAGCAGGTGGCAAACGCTGTCTGAAATCTGTTCATTCCAATCATCTGCACATGCCAAGTGCCACGTTGTCCCAATCCTGGCCTGTACCAGCCCTTCGGTGCTTAGAGTACCATTAAGCAATCTCACTGTAGATTAAAATGGACAGAAGCATTTTAGATAGGTGGTAAACCACCCTTCCCGTGCCCCAAGCAGACAGAAATGTAATATAAACAGTTTTATTATTGTCAGCAAAAACCAAAAAAGTTTAAAAAGTTAAAGTGGTTATAAACCCATCATCTCCAGGATATTGTGTTCCCACAGGAAGGAAATATTATTGTTATCTCCTTCAGTATTTCTGCCATAGGAAAGTTTCATACCCTGTATTTTGCAAATGTCTCATGAATAGACAATAAAGAATATGTTTTCCATCAACTCTGAACAATGTATTTTCTTAGCCAGAATTATGTAATTTCCAGATACTGTGTGACGCTTTAGCTACGTGATGCTCAGTAACACTGATTTGAAATAAGGTTAAAATCAGAGCTGAGAGAAAAATTGGATTTTCCAGTTCCAATTGCTATGAGAATTTTCACTGTTTTCATCGCAGCTCTAGTTAAAACACACACACGCACAAATAATAAAAGCTCCCTAAAAGTCAATCTTTCTATCAAAACTTTTTCCCAAAACAAAACAGAACAAAAATTGAGAAACTGATTAAGTATTTGTGAAAAATCTTATGCTATTTGTATTGTGACTAAGGAAGTTGGACCATAAGGTTTAAGAAGGTCAATGGAATCTCATATGCATCTCAGGAGCTACAGCTGTATTTCAGACAGAGGTCAGTTATTACCAGCATGAAGTAGGGAAAAACATACGATGGATTTGAAATTTACTGGTTGCCAAAATAATTATTTTTCAAAACCTTAGTTGTCCAGAAAACCTTTTTCCACGAAAAAGTAAATTGTACTCTATAGTAAAAAAAAGAGAAATTAATCGGATTTTTAGGAATGCCTCTTTGATACCCAGAGTTTATGAATTAAAGAAGTGATATACAGTGATTAATAAATGGTAAACCTTAGTCACGAGAAATTTCGAGCAGTCTTGAAAACTCTCAGAATTGCTTGCACTGCGAGATTTCTCCGAATCGCTTTTGACACCTCTCCTCTCTTCTACTGGAACTATAATTGCTTTTCCTTTCTCCTCATCAGATCCGTGTTCTTCTCCAAATACATTGTTGGTAAGAAGTAAGACAGCCATTGAGCACTTAACAACTGCTTAATTCAAATGTCATGTATTTTAGAATTCTGCAAGGGAAGAGACATCCTATGCCTTTTCTTTGCAGTCCCTGAGAAGTTTCAGAAGTTGGAGTATTTGAAAAATGGCAGTTTGTCTAGTTCAAATTGTCACTTCTGATAAGAAATAGAAATTGGTTTCAGGAAAATGAGCAAGACTTTTGGACACTGGAAAGACTCTATGTAAAGATGTCTAATTGAATTGTCATTTTATTTTAAGGCTTAAACTGATTCAGCCAATGTTTGGATTAAGTGGGTTTTTGGAAACAATTCTCCCAGTCCTTTAATATGAGGTAAAGTGCTACGAAGGAATAGACAATCTACGGCAAAATAAATCTTTGGGAAAATGTACATCATGTTAATGTAGGTGGTGGTTACCTTGTTCAGATCTTCTTTAGCAATGGCTGGAAGAACCCATTCGAGTCCTCTTTGCTTAAGAAGAAGCTGAAGTGAATTTTATTTCGTGGATTTTAAATAAATATGTTCGCAACAAAATAGCTAATTGCACTTTTGCAAAGAGTAAATCTGTGCCTTCAGACACAGGTTTATGTATACATATATTTATATATGGCAGATATATGAAAACGTATATGTATTTATGCATGTAAAAGATGTTGAAATCAGATACTGAACTGTCAGCACACATCCAAGGACGTATCCAATACCTAGAAGTCCTCTTTAAAACAAAGGAAGATGATGTTCTACTGAGCTTAAAAGCCTGCTTTTAACTTTTCCATTAGTGCTTTGTAATAGATTGTCGGAACAGCACTTTGTCAGAAACAGTAACTTAGTTTCTGTGCTGGGCCTAACATGATTTTAACATTGGTTTTAAATGTAAATTATTGTTTAGAGAACGGTGTTTACATGTTATGTGAAATGAAGCCATATACTGTACCTCTACACTTTGGGAAGAACCATTTACCAGAGGACTAAGCAATAAAAGCTGTTGGTCTCCTTGTGGGAACGTGCACCACTATGAGCAATGGATGCTGCTTGCGCAGCTGTGTCATCCCTTCGCTCTACGGCAATGTCTCCGCAAGACAGAGTCCAGGCAGGCTGGATGATGTCACATGCTGCAGTTTCACACCACATCCATCAGACTATCTGGGAATTTCCATCAAGACTCCTCTTATTCTCTACCCTACACTGCAGAATTTATACTGCTGTGGAACTCAAATTAATTAGAGCAAAAAGTGCAAGAATTTGGGAATATGAAATGGATACAGAAGGAAAGCATGTAATGAGTTTTCATTTAATTTTGAGGCCGTTATAAATGGCAAGAGTTTTAAGCACAGAGGAACTTCCTACCTTTTCCAGAGATCTTCACCAACTTACATATCCTACCTCAGAAAAGTCTTTGTGTTTTGGCCCTGACAAACTCAGTGAGATACTGCTGTGTAAAATGGCATGGCCTGCATGCAGCTGCAGTAGTTTATGCTAGCTGAGGTGTTGTGGCTATATTTCTAGATAATTCCTACCAAATATGCACGCGTTCCTTCTCTTTGTGTGAAGGAAACCTTACCGCACTTTGCTTCATCAGAGCCATCTTCACACTGAGGTAGGTTGTCACAAAGGTTGTGCAATGGTATACACTCCCCACTACCACACTGATGCTCGTCAATTGCACAAGCTCCTGAAGGCCAACAAGAAAAAGAAAACTAAGCCATAATTACGAGGAAGGTTTATGTTGACTGGAGATCATACAGTTCACCTGAAAGAAAAATTGACTCGATAGTACACAAAACCTTTGATTTCCTTTGCTTTCCTCTCCTATCTATCTCCTTTTCAAAATAAAGATTATATTCAGATAAATAGAAGATAAATAAGAATAAAGCTATGGTATTATACCTTGTAGTTTCTGCTATAGTTAGCATTGCTCAATTACTATTGTTCTTCTGTTACATCTAACAAACTTTGGAGGGATGAGAAAAGTCAAATACTGATCAAATCCTGTCAAAAGTGACTAATGATTTCAAGTTCCAGATGTTCAGCACTTTCACAAAAGTTGACGGACCTTAAAGCATGTCAAGTCAAACATACAAGTAAGGTGGCATTTAAAGCCAAGAGTCTCGTTTCAAAACCTATCTGGGAGGAAAGGTGGAAGAGACAAAAGTCACAGAAATGAATGAGGAAAGCATTCACCAAAGTAGGATTAAGCTACTTCAGTATCAGTTATGTAACAAAAGCAGATCAGATATAAACAAAATATAAAGTTATAATTCCTTCTGTGGCCAAAGTGTAGTTTTATAAATACAAATTCCTGTATTTACAGGAATTAAACAATCATAAACTTAAATTCTATTGAAAAACTTTATTTTCTCTATTTTACCTTCCTGGACTTACTGATTGAAACATTCAGTTTTCTACAAGTCTTATTTAAAGCAAGATAATTGCTTTACTTCTGAATTTTTAATACTCATATGAAATGATTCATTCATTAGTCAGTATGGCCTGTTGTACAATATGGAAGCAAAAGCATATGGTTTATAAAAGGTTTGAACCAGATTTTCACACATTCAGTGGCCATAACTGATGCCAGATTTTCCATAGAACTTAGTTCTCACTTAGATAGGTTATTTATTATATTGCAGACTACCAAAAAGTATTTCTTTTCAAATTATGCTTCTTTTTCAAAACTTCAATATTTCATGGAAAAATAAAATACAAATAAAAGTCTGCTTTTCTTGTAAAATTAATTTATTTACTGACAATCCTTTTATCTTTGAGCCTGCATGCTAATGATATTAGTCTCTGTTCTTTGGCTGCAAAGATCATGAATAAGCATAATTCTTTTGCAAATGGAACCTTTTAAATATATTTAACCAGAACTGGCAATGGCCACTTTGAGAACTTTGCCTTGCTAAGCTTAATTTTTATTTTACAATAAAATATGGCAAAGCTGGCTCAACGAAGATGCTGAAACAGCTAAAAAAGAGGCATAGTGCTGTTGGACTGAACAAAAGTGATAGAGAAGGCAGAATAAGAAGTGCCAAAATGCTCACATGTCCATATAAACATACGTCTCAGTCTTGCACAAGAGGACTAAACAGAGTTGATTCTACAGATGTAAATCTGCAGTTAAGATTTTTTTAAAGGTTAAGAAAATCAATATCATTATTACTGTTAATCTGTAAAAAAGCTGCAGCTAGCTAAACATGCTGAGGGACACTTGCTTTTTATGATATTTAAGGTAAGAGAAAGAGTACAGATTCTTGGTGACTTTCTGTTCATGCAAACGAATGGTACTTCACACACCTCTGAATACATACCGCTTTTTCTTTTTTTTTTTTCTTCTTTCTGTCAGACTTCCACAGAAGTAATACAAAGACTTTAATTAATTCCATCCAGACTTGACCTAGAGTTAGTGTAAGTATTTGTCCTGGTAAGCATATTGCTGTTCCATGTACTTTGGCATTTGGCTCAGTTTTGCGTGTTTTTGGAAAGCTGATTGCTGAATTGCTTATATGAGTGACGAATCAAATTGCAGTCCCCAGCAAGACAGGAGTCTTCCAGGACTGTCTGGGACCAGAAACACTGCTGTCCAAATGTTTACGACACGCTAAGGACCGAATTTTTAAAGATGCAAGAAGAACCATATTGCAGACATTAATCAGAGTTATCATACACATTTCTCTTCTGGTAGATATGATCGAAAATAAGTATTTTACAAATGCGTTTAAACACACATTAATGACACCCTCACATGACTCACAAAGCGATGTTCTTTTCTGCGGATGTATAGGGAATAGTTTCTATTTTCCCTCTTAACATTTGAATAGTTTTTGGTCAAAATACCAATAATTTTTCACATAATATCACACAGAGTTGCAGATGATACAGACGTCGGTCCAATTACACTAAAGCAACTAAATCATAACTTTTCATGCTAGAAAACATAAAGTACAGATGGGTAACCTCTAGGCTTTTTTTCTTCCACTTTTTCATATTTCAGTTGAAGAGCTGAGAGTCATCTTCCACTCTTCACTTTTTCTCAAATGTATTTGACCAGTGTTATAACCTCTTAAATACAAGGGTTCATATGCTTACCTAGACGGTAGCCAGTAGTAAAGTTTGCAAGAAATCCCTTCTTTGTTACAGACTCGTCTGTAAGAAGGATTACTGTCATCTGGTTTGTTGTAGAGAAGACATCTGGCAAAGGGTCTTGTCCTGTGTAGACAGCTACTCTCCAGAAGAACATGAATATCCAGTTAAGCTATTTTTTTCTTATGTATTTCAAAATGTTTTGAATATAAAACCAAACACTGCTACTATAGGAATACAGTTATTCCCCCAAACCTAACTGCTGTCAGACTGTGATGATCAAAGATCAACCCCAAATTTGACATATCAGTATAGAAAAATAAGGTTTGACTAAGATTATGCTTGTGTTTGTCCACATACGTGAGTAGTCTTATTTATTGAGAGTTTAATTTCATTTGTATTGCATAGAAAGCTAAGTGTGTGCAAACATTTGGGAAATATGATGTCACATACAGTATGCTTTCTCAAGTTTTCCTCCTAACTTCTGAGACCCAAAAATGTGAAGAAATGTACAATGAAATCAGAGAGAATGAATTTCCTTTATGTTATATCCATCAGTTTGCTCCAGCTGTCTGATTACATTCATTTTAGCACCCAATGCTGTTACTTGCCCAAAAGTAAGGAATTTGATCCTCTGCCATCTCTGACTTCAACTATATCATTAATGTTTTCCAGCTCAAAATCTTGAAAATGAAGTTGAATGTTTTTTCCGTTTTCAGCATTTAAGTACCACACACCTAGAAAATAGTAACACATATTAAAAAAATCACCCTTTCTGTTGTTACATTTACCATGTCATTTTCATGTTGAAGGATTTTGGGGAAAAAAAAGAATCTCTGCTAAACTATTAAGAATCACCCAAGAGACTTAGAATTCTAAATCTAAAAGTGACTTATGCTGTCAAGATCCAATTGACTCTTATTCTCTAAAACACTTTTGAAAACTAGATTTAGGCTCCTAAGACATATACACATGCATTTTTTAACATTCATAACTGTGAGTTTCCCTAAAGCAGGAAAGCTAATTATTTTGTAACTGTTAAAATATGACAAATAGCCTTGTCACTTAAGTCTTACTTGATAGTAAGATAATTTCTATAATCAGTCACAGAAGCCTGTCTTTCAAGTTAGAAGTCTTTTTAGAGAAGAAGTATTTGCTTCTGTTTAGCCTATGTGTTATCATACTTAATCTATGTAAGTGAGGATGTTGTGGAAATCTTGTAAATAAGGTAAAAAACCCAAAACTATTTCTAAGCTTCTTCAGAAAGTATTTTCTTACCAGTAGCAATCTCATTTGGGAATTTGCGAAATTAATATTTGGAAATCAGAGCCATATCTCAAGTGGGAGAGAAACACAAAATTACAACATTTGTGATTAGCATCCCAACACAATTCTCTAGTTAAAGGTGAAGTAATAAATAATAAAAATTTCATTAAGAAGCAATAGCAAAATTCTCTTCCTTGCTTCATCTGTCAACAGCACATAGTGGACCAATATTTGACACAATAGGCATGACGGAATTGGCCTGTCTGAACCCATTCCAAGGGATTATGCTTGTCTTCATCACTTTTTAATGAACTGGCACGTGATTCCTTAGCTTCTGCTAAGTGCCATATAGACTTCAGTTAAAACATCACACTGGTTATTCCTTAGATCTTTTTTGCTTGACAGCATCTGACTTGAGAAAATAGATTTCTTATTTCTACTTTTATATGACTAAACTTTTCCTGAAGACTTGGAGAAGAATGACTTACAAGAAGCTTGATTAGGGTAATTGTTTGGATAGTTTTTGGAGCTGAAAGTGCTGTTCGGCTCCCATAGTTCAACTGGCCCTCCGCAGTCAGCTGAAAAAGAAAACATTTCAAAACCATAATTGACCTATTGTCTTACTGTTGCAATCCATTGTAACAAGATAATTTGGAAAAACTGATTTTATGAAGAGGATATTCAAGCTAACTTCATCACTGTAAAGGTTCAGCTATGGTGCCATTGGTATAAAGCTTGAACAAAGAGTTGTGAGAAGCCAATACTCCAGTAAGGACACAGAGCACTGAGGAAACAAGGTGTGTAAGAAATTCACTGTCCTTATTATTTATGGTGCCTAAGTCAGACCTGCTGACATATACTATTAATGTCATAGTGTTATCTACAGCTTTAGTTCATATATTGCTGTTTGTGAAGTGCTAGTGCCCAGGTGCACAACTGGGTTCATGATGGTGGTATGAGAAGTTTTCCCCATGTAGTTAGGGGAAAGACACAGTGATTTGGTGATTATTGGTCTGGAAGCCGTGCACATAACAGGAAATATGAAGAAAAGCGTGTATTACAGTCAACTGCATAATTCAGTAGTACATTAATATAAAAGCTGGAAAATGTCAAAGAAAGAAAAGAAAGCCCCCTTCTCCCTCAAATATAACATATTTATGCACTTAGCTTGTATGCCTTGCTTGTTATCTGATTGATTGTCTTGCAGCATTAGGAGAGATACTGAAGTATAAAGCCCATTTTGTCATGCAGCAAATAAACTTCATAGCAAAAATCCATCTATACTGTTATTTTGATTTCATTAGAATCTGAAAAACTTTTACAGTTAACCTTTCAAATGGTAAAAGGTTCTTTTTCCTTGAAACAACTGCTCCAATAAGAAAGGTCTTTATCATAAAAATATATATGCCCTTACACATAAAAATGAATATTTTTTTTAAAGCAAATATTGTAGATATGTATATACACACATACCTGCACTTACACACATAGACATAGCTAACTGTACTTTATATATTCAATATTCTCTTCCAATATATAGTTTAGAGGATGGTTTTCATCCGAAATGTCAGCTTCATATTCCAAAACTTAACTTCATATTGAGAAACTATTTATTTTCATTTCAGCTGTATCACCAGAATGAGCTTTGGTGTTTTCCCACTTCTCTTGTTCACAATTACTTTATTAAAAAATAAACAGTGCTCCTCCACGTGCTTCAGTAAATAGAAGTTAAGGCAGAAGAGATCTACCTTTTTAATTTCGTTTTCTTGTTGTTTGATTCTTTGAATTAAAATTATTTTTTTTAGCTTTCAGACTTTGGCTAAACTTTAACACTCTCCCTCCTCTCCTGGCTCAAATTATGCACTTCATTATGTCTGTCAGGATTGCATACTCTGAGCCACTTGATCGGGGACTGCGTAATCATTGAATCCCACCATGAGGAAACTCCACTAAATACAAGAAAGATTTGATCTTTCTCATGACCCCCATCTTATAGATCTTTCTATTTCACCAAACCAGTCATGCCAAGAGACACCAAACTCTCTGAAAGGAACAATCACACATCGACTAACAAGTTTATTATGTTTCACCTGTATGTCTCACAACGAGGACTGCGTTCTGTAAATAGCATTAACAACAAATAAAGATTACATTGGCTTTTTTGTATGGAACATGACTGAAGGTATGAGCAGAAACACAACTATTGTAAAGCTGCATGAAGAATACGTGATTCTCAGCCAGTATCATCTGATGATATGAGCAGAGCAAAACCAGCTTTCTTAGTAGAACAGGGGCAATTTATGATGAAATCTGATCTGGTGTTGACTATAGGTAAGGCAAATTAGTAATGAGCTTTCTCTTTCATGGAAAAATGATAGAAGTAATTGATTTTACTTATGTGTGGAAAACACGTTTTAACAATTTCCATTGATCTTTAACCACAAGTATATATGGAGTTATTCATATAGGTGTCACTCATTAGAGAACCAAACAGCAATATCAGCACCAATAATCTAGGTCCTTCCATTAAGCATAATAGACAATTTTCTCCACAATGTAGGAAATGATATATGACTTGTTCATAAAAAAATTACTCTGTACTTTGGCCCAAATTTTAATTTATATTGACATACACATCTTAAGTGTGGAATCTACACTGTAATTTCCACACTGTTTTTTTGTGTTAAAAGACAGGTTATAAATGAATAAGAAGATGAAAGCAATCTTTGTTTCAGATGAAAGTGTTAGCTGACAGCCTTGTGCAAAAGACAAAAGCAAATCTAGCTTCCCTACCCTACCACAAAAATTTTTTTTTGACTCTTCAGTGAGCTTTTGTGGCACTGTAAATGATGCCAGTGCCTCTTACTGAAGCTCCAAGTCTAGCAAAAGAGATTGGCTCAGCTCAAATTCTTTCATCTCTTGTTTATAGACATGACATTTGTAGTGAAACCATTAGTGTTAGTAAGCTTACAATACGTCTGTCAAAGTAATTTCATTCTTCTTTGAAGATGATTGATAACATCCAGTTACAGATAGTGTATATTCAGCATGCCTCAGCAAAGTTATGCAAACAAGTTAATTTTGCCCCAGTGCTGGCTCAGGCTATCCTTTTGTACCATATTGAAGGACAGTATGGATCTTCTCTAATCTGTTTCACGAGGAGCTATACACCACACGACCACTTCCTTTTTTTGAATATGAAAGCTTTATCACCATATTTTGGGCAGAGATCTATACTTTAAATGACATTTCTTTGGCTTTTTGACAGCAGCACTCAGTTACTGTTACCACAGGGTTGTTCTACCACTAATCATTAGACTGATGTGAACTTGTGAGGTATGTTTACCCACAGCACCTGAAAAGATGGCTGGAGGTGGCAGACATCAGCACGTTTCCACAGTACTACTTTAATGATAACTGCAATCACATTCCAAAACTCACTTTGGTAAACCCTGACTGAAATTACCAATGTTATTAAAATTTAATTTTGCTGACAGAGACATCTGTTTGAACTTTACATCCCTGTGTCTCAGGATGGAGCTCTAAAACTGAATTTTGCTCGTATGTTTAGAAGGTTTTATTTTCTTACCTGTCCTGATGCAGTAGATTTAGAAGTGATAGATTTGATAGAATGGCAATAGTAGTGTGCAGTGCTTCAACATGAGTACGATGCAAATGGTCTTTTTCTATTATTTAAATTTTTAGTTACTATATGCTTATATATATGAGAGCAACTAGCTGTGCTTTGTGACTAAATCTAATAGGAGATAGTTCTGCAACATACTCACTCTTTGTTTAATAATTTGAAGCCGTCAGTGTATAGATCTTTTGTAGAAATCTTTTTTTTTCAAAAAAGTTCATGCCTCTTTCAAAATAAATTACAAAACCCCACCAGATATTTTAATGATTTTTTCCACAAGCTCTATTCATATTTGTACTGGTTTTTGCTTTAAGTATGTATTGAGCTTGTTAACATCATATGCAATCTTTTTCATTGTTTTGTATACCTTTTCCAGATTTATAATGATGGCTACATTTTTTCATATTTTTCTCAGTGAGATTCTTCTAACTAGCTCTGTGAAACTGGAACGTTTTGAGGAAGTTTAAATCTCTATGCTCTCCTGTAAAAGACTCTGCAATGTGATGGGTCTGGATTAAACTGTAAAACCTGTCTGGGGAAGTGCATATGTACTACAGGTAGAGTCGTTTCATGTGTCATTAACTTCTACTTGACATGGAGAAGATGGCAAGAACGTGCAAACGAAACTCTCCTCCAGTTTCCCACTGAACCTGGGATTCAGAAAAGGTGCTAAGAAGATAGTGAGATGAAATGAGGCAAGGAGTGGAGTTAGCAAAGGCAAAATTGAAGAAATCAGGCTTAGGTTTTGACACATTCCATAATTTATGCAAAGGTTGAAACCTCTCCTTATATCTGGGAGTAGAAAGAGTCCTTTCATTGGGCTTTTTTTGTCCACTCATTTCCTGCAAAACCAGATGAACTGCTAACTGTCCTTTTGTCCTTTCTGTTTCCCTATTTAAATTTTTTCAAAGGAAATATTGCCTTCTTTTTCCTTTTTAATGTAATCAGATCTAGTAGAAATAACAATACAGCCAAATGGGTATTGGAAAGAACTTGTTCATCGTGAGCCTTGTTCCAGATGATACATCCATTTTGGATATTAGACATTGACATAGATTGTGCTCTATTCTTAAACCATTCTGGCACTGTTACATATTCATTTTCCTAAACATGGGGGTTTTCAGTGTGCGTATGTTCTCAGAGCTTGGTGAATTTTTACTATTGAGACCTCTAGTGATATTATGATGTGACTTTACTCTTTCTCTTATTCTCCTGCTAGATCCCTTATAATTTCAAATATAGAGGTTATAATCTTCCTTCTCTTTCCTCTTCTTTCCCGTTCAGTGGCTTCCTGGAAGCTTTACTAATTTAAGCTTTTAGAGACAAATTCTGAATGCTTTAATTATCCTATACTCTTCAAGTTTTGAAAGGTACAGTACTGACTGCTTAAGCTGTGAATCTACCAGTTCTGTTGCTATCAATGAAGCCATGAACAGGGAACCTGATTCCTAGTATGTTATCTTGAAGATATAACTTTATAATGCTGAAAAGAGATTTTTATAAAACTGAAGGTTGAAAATTCTGAATCACTCATGCACAAATACAGTAATAGGAAATGGCAATCAACTGTAATTTAGTGTTTACTTACTAGGAACAGAAGGGGTAGTAGTAACGGCTGGAATCACAGTTGGCTCTACATAAATACTTTCATTACACGTTCCCTTTGTCAAGCCAATGTCATCTAAGGCAATATCACTGCGACCACGTACTTTAAAGGCATCAAAAATAACCTGAAGTTCATGAAAAAAAAATAGAATTTTATTATTTAATGAAACATTTTTCATCTTCCTATGCTGAATCATTCTATCTACTTTATTGAATGCTCTTATTTCCACTGTAGTCTACACTGGTGTTACAGTCAGAGGAGGGCATCAGCTATGAGATAGGATTCCTCGCAAAACAAAATGGCACTATACAAACAGAGCGGATCATTCTAAGAAATGCAGGAACAACTTTGTATAAACGATGAACATGATTTAAAATTATTGAATAACTTTACTTTTTATATATAAATACAGGTAATTTTGAAACACAAATTCTGTGCCACTCATCTCATCAGTCCAAACTTCTCCTTATTTAATGGCACATCTCTATGAAAAATTGAAATTAATCTCGTTTGTTATTGTGCTTTAATATCACATATTTAAAGTAATCTTGCTATCAAGGAATTTATGTTGGTGAAATACAGCCAGGTATAGCACTCTTCCTGAGATTTGTTAAAATACACATTTGCTGGAAATCTGATGCAGCCAGGTCATAGATGCATTTACTTCCTCAGATGGTAAATGCATCTTTCTGGCAGTGTTTTTGTATCAACCAAAACTACTATAGCAGGACAAGCCATCCCAAATACCTATAAAAAGAGATTGTTTTCAATGGAGAGTTTCTGAAAGAACCGTCTAGCCTGTCTTCTCCTTTTGTTTACAGATGAGTCAGGTCAGTTGTTAACCATGTGGTGCCAAATACATTTACGTTTGGAACACACTTTCAGTGAATTACTCCGTAATTAATTGGTGAAAATACTGCTTCAGAATCTGAAATTATTTAATTTAAGTCTTCTCATGGCTAAGTGTTTCATATCACACTCACTGTCGAGATATTAAACTCCGCATCAGATTTTGAAAGGCTTTGGACACCCTCGTCTTGTGGAAAGCTCTCTTTTGTGATAACGTTGATTGTCTCATTACAAGGTTAAGGTTTTCTGTTTTCTATAATAATAGTATTTTAAACTCCAGAGCAGGGAAGGGAGAGGATGACAATTCAAATGAGGACTTCAGTCTTCTGCATGCTAACATTTTTTTGATGGCACACATTAGCAAATAGTACCAGATATTATCTTTGAGCTGTAGATCATTGGGTTCATTTGGCAGAAAACTCTGATATAAGTTTAGCTAATGTAAATTTTAAAAAGAACAAACCTTAAGATCAGATGTTTCATTTAAAGTTACTTGTCCGTAATTCCAGTTGTTTCCATAGTTTCCTTCTCTCTGGAAAATGATCGTTTCCGAGCCATGGTCATTACTTACGCTAACTCTTAAACGGTAAACATTAGCACCATACATGAAATACCTAGAGGAGGAAGAGCAATTTTTGTATTAGTAGAACAAAGTGAAAATTCATGAAAAAATATCAAGCTTTTATTTTATAAACGATTTTATGGAACTAGGAGTAATTTACAGTGAGCATGAAAATATCATGAATTGTATGCTTAGATTACACTTGAAAGATTTACTTTGTACTTAAGTTATATTTTCTGCAGAGGCTGAGTTAAACTTCATGACAAAAAAACATTTCAGGGATTCTTAATATAATTTCTTTGTAGAAATGAGTATTGGGTGCAGGGTGAAAAAGAAAATATATTAAAGCTAACTGCAAGACACAAACATATAAAGGAGTCAAAGTTTCAGGTCTGGAGTTGAGACTGAGCATGGAAATCCTAACAGAAGCAGGCTTACATAGCTGGCACACTGATCTGGGTTAATATTATATATGAAAGAAAGCTATTTGGTTTAATTCGTAAACAAAGTATATGTGTTCAGAAATTGGGTAAAAATACCAAAAGCTTAGACAAGATGGATCTGAAGAGACCAAAGGCAAACTCAGAATCCGAACTCTCTCTTCTCCGAATCCAAGTCCTAGAGGTGTTGAAATATAAAATCCTACAAGACAATGAACACACTTTAGTCAGTATAGAATTACTGGGGTTTTTTTTTAAATGAGAATTTTTATGTTAACAATAATATCAATAATACAAGGCACAGCAGGACTTGGAAGATTCCCAACACCGTAAATGTGAATGACTTTCCAAGGTTATATTCATCAGTCAACAACGTATTAACATGAGTTTTTAGCTTATTGGACCCTCCTCAGAACTGAACATGAAATGGGAAACTAACCCTTTTGAAGTCAGTGGTAGATCTGCCTTTTAATTAGTGAAGGCAGCGGTTCACCTGAGAAATTTCTACTTGGTTTATAAAAATGTCTTCCTGTTTGACATTTCTTGTGACTTTGCAGAAAAATTTGCTGACATTTTTGTAATTTGTATCTACATAAAAATGAGAAATACGGGTTATGTGTTAAGGATGGGGAGAAAATGACTACATGAATATTTTAGAGCAAGTGGAACCATTATAAACAAGAAAAATACTTTATTGGAGAAAATTGTGGTTTTAGCTTTTTCTGAATTAATCCCTTGCAGCTGAGAATTTGGACTTCTTGCTGCCATATAGAAATATAATTTAAGGCCAGGCTATAGAAGCACTGTGATTTGTCACAAGAAAAGCAAAACTAGGCAGAGTTAAAAGTTCTAAAATAAAATTCTTGCTTTATTGAAATTATGGCTATAATTTTAGATTTTATTCTTTCAATCTATTAATCAATCAATTGATCAATCTGAAGCATATGTATGTAAATATTATATTCAGAGAATCTACACGTAAATATAATTACAATTATATAATTGACATATACTATAGTCTGTTATTTACACTTCTAGTTTAGCTAGCTTTTTCATGTGGGAGGTTAAAGTACGTGAAAATTAGTCTGAAAACTGTATCAGGCCTTTCATTTCCTGTGTTGACTTAGAAAGCATGCATGAAAACACACATGATGTGTATCTGTAGGAAAATAAGCATAGCATTCTTTTTTCAGAGAAGGTCTTTATGTAAAGTGACAGTTCTCTCTTTTATCAATTCTCTGAGCAGAATCAATTATTGACTATGTATTAAGTCCTTTGCTTTTCAAGATCAGCAAAACAAAAATACACTATCTCACTGAATGTATTTAATAGCTAGATATTAATGATTCAGCTCACATTTTTACCTCAAATGCAAGTTGTAGAAATTTAAATATTCAATATAATAGCAACATTACATATGTCAGCCTAGACCTAGCACAGTGAAACAGAGAGCACCTAAAAAGGATTAGCATTTTCAAGAGAGCTAGAAATCATTATCAAGTGTTTTATTAAACAAATTTTATGTTCTTTCATCTGATTTGTATTCTAGGAGTCAAGTGGGAAGATAAAACAGTGTTCTGAAGATTGTTTAGAAAATGTGCATTTACTTAGAGAGGTGAATAATTTCTGTACAATAATGTGTGAATAGTATTTTTCTTTTCCTGGGAGTAACTTCTGCCAAAATAATTTGCAATTTTTCCGGTTATTTGTCACTGAATAAATTCTGTATAAGTTTGCATAGAATACATATAACCATTGCAAAATCCAAATTATGTTAATTAGTTTTAGCTGGACTGACAAATCAGCTGAGAAAAAGATTGGTTTTCCTGTTGAAGCAGAAAAAAACTTTTGGAGTCTAATTCTGGGATAAGCATTCACGACACATTCAAAATCTGATTCCTATAAGTATGATTTCTTTAATTAAAACCCATATTTGGTAGGATCACTCTTCTAATTAAGTTGTTTTACTATAGCAGTTGCTGGAGTCTTTGTGTGTTTTGCACGCTCGTTGAAAATTAGTGTGTTTGGTGTGAGACTCTAATTGGGGACACAGGTGCCCTATGTACCCTGCAGGTCAACATTGTGTTAAGTCAAAACTATCATGTGACAGGGATGAAATAGAAGTGATTTCCCTAAAATATAGATACACTTGTTTTTTCCTTAGGGTAAACATGCAGTTATTTGACCTAGAACATTGTTGTATAATAGAAATTCCTTCTCAGGTAAGGCACTTTGGTATATTAATAACATAAACTTTTCAATATCTCACACTTTAATCACTTTATATATTCCTTTATTTCTTCTTTTTGGATATTTCCACAAGGCGGAAATCAGTACCATAAAACATTTCGTTTGGTAACCCTGACTTGTTTTCATGGCAGAATAAAATTACATCCCAATAATAGCACTATCAAAAATCCATTGTACAGTGGTATAACATAAGTTAAATCAAGTTTTTCCTTTAATCTGCAAGCAACTTGTATTTGATCTTACCTGATATGTTGCCAAATGTATGATCAAAATCAGGACCACTCATAGAGGGAAAGGTAGGGCCCTGAACTCTCTCCCAGTCCGAATCATCATCTAAATCTTGTATCCAGTAACAAAAGCCGTCTTCAAAAGTGCAATTGACTTTCTCATAGTCTGTGAATGAGAACCTCTAGTAAATAAAAATGACAGAAACATGAAGCAATTTCTCAGAATTACATAAGAACGAGTGATGAAAATCGTAAATCTTCAAATGTGTTTGAAAACTTGAGCCCATGGTGACTCAATTTCCTCTTCTATGCAATGAAATATAATTACTCAAATAAATGTGCCATTTGTACTTGTTAACACGACACTGTCACTGAAGGTGGCCTTACAAGCTCTAGCACTCATTCATCAACCCTCTTTTTTGATCCTTCTTCAGTAACATGGTGGGGAAATGAGACAGGACCCCTTGCATAGAGAACACTAAAGGCTAAACCTGATCTTTTCCTCCTTTCTTTTTCAAGGCCTGGATTGCTCCAGCTCAAAGGGCTTACCACCAGACATAAATGCTCAGAAGATAAGTGCTGTGCTCCATACACCAGGGGTGCCTCTTTACTTGTCCTTCTCCTTTGCTCTTTCTTTTCTCACATATATTTGCTGCAACATTCTCATAACTTTTCTTCCTGTAACATTTTGCTCAATGCCTTTTCACGGTGCCTTGAAGTGCAGATCAGCCCCAGCAAAGACTTCCACATGACAAGAGTTTACTGGCACTCTGGTCGCTTCCTGCAGCATATTCCTTCCAAATCACATTGCTTGTTCACATCCTGCTCAAAATTTAGCAGCTGAAGAAGCCCTCACTTGACCAATCTGTATCTAAATTTTTTTCTGACTACTAAAAAGCACCAATGTATTAGTCATATCGCTGCATTTTGTTGTCACTGTAGATTTACTGCATCTGGACTTTTCCCAATGCCTGTTTACCAAAGCAGGTACTTTCTTGAATGTTAGTTTTATCATTTAGGGTTACTACTTGAGGCAATGAGTTAGGACATCAGAAATTTTGGAGAGCATATACTGTCAGGTGATCCCAGAATAATGATTAGTGTCAGTGATTCAACAGTGGTCATTAGTGAACAAACTCACTGAGACGAATCTGATGGAGATATGGCCAAAGTTTTACTCTTTTATTTTAACAGATTAACTTTATAAGTCATCACCACACTGGTAGAAACAGACCTGTAAGCCTGTGGGCAGTCTTAGTGAAATCAATGATTTGATTTTTATAGTATGAGATTTCTTAAAGTGGATCTAGTTACTGGGCTGAGATCAGAAAATACTGCTTCCTTTTTCATGTCCATTTTGTCAAAATGAAAATATACTCTCACCAAGCTTTTGGGATAACAAAAACATGTACACACACACAAAAATAACACTTACTGTTTAGTTCATTTGCATTAAATGTAGTGTACGTTGCATTAAAGCCATTATAATTTTCAAAATAATCGGATGTAAACTGTGCTGTAGCCTCATGAGAAAAAATGTAAATTGTCTCAGTATTGGTCCCTGACAGAGAAGCTGAGAACAAATAAAGAATAATATAGTCAGAGAGAAAACAATGCCATGCACATTAAAATCCCCAGTGCTGTCAAGAAAATACAGTGGATTAGTTTTCTGAGTCTTAAAGAATGCTTTCCCTCTTGTACAGTGATCCTGCCTACAATAGCTTTAAAACCCTGAAGGCGTTTAGCTGTTTGGTTGCCATATAAGTATTCTGCATATCTCATCTCTCATATCCATCAATACGAATATGAACGAGTGGAGAAACATCTCTTATATTACACATATGCAACACTGTAATCTTCATATCTGTGCTTATGATGCTGTAAATGTGCTCAGAATTATCAGACATGCACTCTGAAACTCTAGAATCACAGTATTGAATATATATTTTTATTACATATACTTACTGTCACAGTTTAATAATTAGCACATACACTTACAGATACTCAAAGAGGAAACTATGACATTACATAAAAATTTCATTTTGTGATGTATTTCTTAATACATTAGGGAAGCATTTGTCTGGTCACTTTGTAAGAGTAGGTAAGTACATTGAGATCAATTGTCTAACAGGGAAAACTTTACACAGATGCATTCTTCCACTTAAACATATGCATGCATTGTTTTTCACTTCATAATGCTTATTTTACCACTTAAATTTTATTAATGGAGAAGTAATATTAGCTGAAAAATAACCTTACCTCTTAAAATCTTTTCTTGTCCTACACCTTCAAAAATATCTAAATTGTCTGTATATTGTTGTGTTTCGAAGGAAGTAAAGTTCAGTTTAATGGATAACCCTTCAGGCACTCTAAGATAGGAAGAGAAAAATAAACCTTAAAACCGAGTCATGTTCTAGTAATCTTTTTTTTGACTGTAGTATATCCATTGCGTGCTTGAATGATGTTAAGTTCAGAAACAAAAGGAAATTAAATTAATTAACATTATTAATCAAGATTATCTATTTTGTTAACTTTTAATTTGCAAAATTACCAAAGGAATAGGACATAAACCTTTTGTAACTGTACAAGTAACCCTTTACTGACTGGAGAGAATCTTCTAAACGCTAGAATCTGTATTCCACTGAACATCTTTTTTATGTTTTTTTTTTTTTTCCTCTGCATCTCATTAATTTTCAATTACTTTATAATAGATGTTACTAACAGATAACATCTCACTGTTCAGGTGGACTTCACGAAGTCAGAGGAATGGTACTATGGTATCGATATGAAAAATAACATATCTTAATCTGTCTCCTGAAAGTCCAAAATAATGTCTCTTATGACAAAACCAGGATTTGCATGAAGATTTGAGGATCTCACTGTTTGGGAACATGTTATCAAACCTAACAATCACCCAGTAAGTTTAATAACAAAAGTCACTTTAACTAAACTGTAAAAAATGCTGGGTTTTGTTTTGTTGCAGTTATGTTTTTTCAGTAATCTATATTGAAGTAGTTCTCCAGTTGCCCTTCCACTAAACAGATACGGTAGTCCAAGTTCTAAAGCTCTACTATCACAAGCAGCTTAGCTTCCTGTACCATGATTTGTTTTCTGGGAGAGAGAGGCCCAATAATTGCTTTTCAATGGCAATCTGCTGGTGCTTATCAGTACCGATTAGCAGATAAGCATAAAGTAAATAGTTAAACATTTACGTTCACTTTTTGTTGTTGTTATATATTTCTCCATAGGAAAAAAAATCCTTGCTTTGAAAAGAGTGAAACGTGTGATAGTAGTCTTTCAGGAAGCTAATCTTTTGGGGAATTATTAAGCATACTGCTCTTACTTTTAAAAGAAGAGAAAATTACATTTTCATTTGGGGAGGAGTTAAATGGAGTGAAAATGTTTTCCTATATGTAATGGTTATATCTTTCTATACAACGAAAGGCAGAAAAGTAATCAAATCTTGAATGTGTTCTAGAGTGACTTTTAACAGATTTTTATAGGGATAATAAAAATAATAGGACAAAATGTCTCTCATTGGTTACTGGAAAATCCAAAAGGTTCCCTCTTAGAAAGAATTCTGTTCAAAAAGGAGATAAAATATAAGTACCATATTGAATTATTTAGGTCTTTACTATGAATGTTGCCAGATATTTTTAAAGCAGATAACTGGAAAATAAAACCAGATGATGGTTTTTGTCATTGATCAATCTGTAATTATGCAGCTCTACACCACCTGTACTATACTATTTGCAATTACTCATGATTCTTTTCAAAATTAAGCTTTGGTTAGCTACATAAGTGGTATAGATATCAACCTAATACAACGCTTCTTGCAGCTATAGCAACATTTCAATCAAACTTGACAGCTTAGAAAAAAGTAATGCACTTGAGACATGATTAGCTATCATGCTCAAATTCTGTGACAACTGAGGAACAAGTCAGGTTTATATCCTGAAGGAAACAATCTTGTGCTTTTCCTGTGACACACCTGTATTTTAAAACCAGGTGTAGCCTGTAATTATTGGTGAATAGTATTGCTGAAGATGAGAAGGAACAAATGTGCTAAACATAAGGAAAACTGACTTTTTTTCTGAAGTGTTAAGGTGAAGATGAAAGTCCTGAACAAATTCAAAAGCTGGCACTTTCAAAGGAGCCTTGGGAATAAGAAGTCCAAATCTTATCCAATTTTAAAGGCATTTCCTTAATCTCCTTTGAAAATCTTCTATCAAATTAGTATTTCTCAGAATCAAAAAATGGCCGTTCTTACAAAGCCATAGCAAGAATTACTGCCTTTCAAAGCAGTAATTTCTGAATTGGCAGTCATTGTAGGGATTTTTAGGAGCTTCCAACTTGCAGTCATCTAACTCATTTTAGATATGTACTTTAGGATGAGATTTGTCACATGCTATGGCTATCTTTTTTTCTCCCTGGCTTATGAAGTGGACCTAGACAGTCAAAGTCAAATAGCTGTCCCTTCCTGTAGGTATGTATCCCTGATTAAGCAAATTCCACTTGTTGTGCCTAGACCTTAAAAAGCATTTGGTGTTATTATGTCAAATGATATTCCTGTGATTTTAAAATATATTCCTAAATGTCTTAGGAGCACAGGTGCTGTTAGCTCCCAGATGAAACGTGTACCCTTAAATTACAAGGGAATTCTTGAAAATTCCATCTGTTAGAAACAGTTACATCATATAAAACCATTACTTAAAGTCTAGCGTTTATTGCAATACTTGGAAACAAATATCTCGCAATTATTTTGAGTTATGTGATTTATTTTGAGGTTTTCAGTGAAGTTCCTGTGCATGCATATAATACACAAAATCTCTCAAAATCATACCTAAGAGCTTTTCCAAGTGAGAAAATTATTAATACAGTTATGGGTTTTAGGCATGCAAGTTTTTAAAGAAAAGTTACATAAAGAAAAAGGAGAAAATGCTATTACGTATTTTCCATGCTGGCATGTTTAGGAATACAAACAAATGGTGTAAGGTTGATGTGCAGGAAACTATATCACCTCTTAATCAAAAAAATGTTAGGTAGAAAATTATGGAAAATGGCTTACAGTATAATCCATTGGCAAACGATATTTGCATTATATGGTTTCGGATAATTCATAGAGTGAAAAAACCCAGAGGAGTCAGTCAACATAAATTTTCCATCACAGACTGTAGCTGTAAAGATATAATGAAGAACATTTGTCAAAATGGCATTTGATAAACAGAATCAGAGCCAAAACAAGGGCGATTTTAGCTATTGATTTAACATGGATTACCGTGGAAATGCTTTGTAAACGACAATGGGAAGACAAAGTAAAGCACACTACCAACTTACTCTCACTTCTACTTCCCATGACTAGTTGATCTCAAAGTACTATATGAGAAGAAAACATTACAGACAATTCTCTTTTAAATTAAAGACAATCCAACTAATCCAAACTAGTCCAAACCAATCCAAACAACTCAAATCCAGGAGTTGAATTCAACTATCTTTACTTCGTTTTATTTCATACGTTTGTAAGGAAATAGGATCTTGCCTTAACAGTTTTTATCTTCAGCTACTTTAAGTCAGGAAACTATGTTTGCACTACCAGAAACAATTTGCACTTGTGTGAATAAAAGCAAGAAGGGATATGGTTGACTATTGCTATCTCTACTTTTATGAGCTTTCTAGCTCCTCACCTTATATATTACTAAGTACGCAAAGAGATAAGCGGATATCCCAAGTTCCTGCCAGCTATCGAATTCATTCATCTGACGTAAATGCCGTCCATCATAATCTGTTGTTTCAAAAAGCTTTTATTAGATTTGTTTCCTTGGTGCTACTATTCCATTCTATGCAAGTTCTTTGGTTTAAAAATCAGTTATTTTTAAAAGAAACGTCATTTTAAGCCTCAGCAAGATTGGAAATGCTAATTCACATAGAGTTATTTTATTTCAGCAGACACTGAAGAACTGTTGAAGCTTTTGCTGTATCTTTTGGACATTGTGTTAGGAATCTGATGATGGATTTTCTTTAGTTTTTCAGAAAGCATCACAGAGCTTTCAAATAAGGATAAAAACAGTATCATACATGATTATCCGAAGAGGTAAGGACATGTTCATCAATACGAAGCAGATAATCAGAAATTAGATAGAGCTTTTCATAAATATTAGAAATGAAATCATACCTATAATGACTATCCAAATTATGAATAATCAATCATATTGAAAATTAAATGGAAATTTTATTGAGCCTCCTCTGGGAAATGATATATAAAATGATAAATTGAGGCTCCTTGCCTGTTCATTTTATAAGTGTAAAATTCTTTCTGACTACCACTGTAGCAAACACAATATAAAAATTAAGCTCTGTTTCAGTCAGGCTCAGACATGCACTGTTAATAAAGACTATGCAGAACGAACTAACGCTGATATGTATAATGCCTGAGCTGGTATGGAACCATATTCCCTTTTGCAATCTTCATGGCCTTTGAAAGGAAAACAGAACACGTAAGATTTTAAATAAATAGAGGAAAAAAAGCCCATGAAAGAGAGATAACATTTTTTTATCAAACCAGCCTACAGCTTTAGAGCTAGGTATTGGTATAAAAGTAATTTTCTGTCCATTTTAATTCATGTGTTTCCTGTTCTTACCAATAGGCTAATATTTACAACCATTTCCCATTGAGAAGAACAAAATCAGTGTGAAAAGAAGAAAAGTGCCCAGCTTGTTATCAATGAAGTGTGAAAAAAAGTGATAGTGTTAACAAATGATTAGCAAGACACATCCTGATCTAAAAAGGAGTTTATAGCACTGTTAGTAATAAAAAGAAATATACCATCCTATTCCAATAAAATTAACGACAAAAGTTTGTTCTTATCAACAATTCATTTCCGTTCATTTTGTTTACTTTTATTTGTTTCTTCTTACGTCTTAAGAGACAGTGAGCGACTTGAAACAGGATGGAAAAATTCAGGCAAAACTCCTTTGGCTGCTCATCCATAGCTTACAACAGTCAGTGCTTGGTATCTCAGGAATGAGCAGGAAGACAGCTGAAACTAGTCCTATTTCCCTGAAGAACCTCCCTGTCCTTCCTTGTTGCAGGGAGGAGGCAGCTGTGGTCAAAGGTGTGCAGGGTCACAGAAGTCATTAGATTTCTACCTCCTCCTGGAGCCCTCATAAAAACCTCAGTTGTTTTCCTAATGAGACAGGAGATGTCTTTCGTAGGAACCACTTTCACTGCTTTCCCAACATACATCTTGTTGTCTTTTTCTATTTACTTATGTTGCATACAGGGCGCATTAGGAGAGCTTAATCCTGTTATCCTTGAATTGCAGGGAGAAGCTCCTCAAACTGGTTAGATCAAGCCCACATATTTCATTTGACAGGACCTTTCTCTGCCAAGGGCAGTGCACTACCTCCCGGTTTACGTATGATTAATCTCTCAGTACAGTAGCGATGCTGTGAGGTAGGCAATCACAAAATGTTAGCCTAGACATGTAATAACTGCAAAGAGAGCCTGCAGAGAGAAACACCTCCTGGGATCAGCCTCCAGTCTCCTTTTCCTTACACTTACGTGCTACGTGGCTGCTTTTCAGCAATGCCGGCCATTATTAATAGATGCTATTCAGACTTTCACATTTCTCTAGAGATCCTTTCATTGAAATGGCTAACTCCACTTTTGCAATGTCTTTTGTTACTGCACTGCATTGAAGAGCCAGAAAGAAACCTTTCAAGATAATTTTAATCAATAAGACGAAAAAAAAAGATAATGTTCAGTTGCCTGAATCTCTGCTGAGAATCTGAGATTTTACTGAATTATGTCTAATGCAGGAAGAGACTATTAAAATTTATTCTTGTATGCTATATTTTAAAACCACTAACATATTCTAATGTCAGAAGTACTAGAGGGAATAATAATCAAGATGGAAAAGCAAACCAAGTTATTTACAGGGCAGCAAATCCATTGTGTGCAAGAGCATTTGTAGTACAAATTACAAACCGGCTGTAAATCTCATTGTGAAACTCTGAACCACTTCTGAAAATCTAGACAATTTTAGCTTTTATATGACCGTATTAAGTTGCTCTAGGGATAGGATATAAGTAAAAAATGAGAGGTGGAAAAATTGGCAGGCATCTCAAATGTGCACACAGTTTATTGCCACTCATTCCTCTGGATTTGCAAAGTCTGCTAAGAAACCTAAATATATAAATTGAGAAAAGCTCTAAAGTTTTGGATGGAAAACTTTAAGACTGAAAATGTAACATAGGAGTCATGGAGCAACAATTTGTCCTCCAGCAAGAATTGTATTTCTGTAAGGTTATGAGCTGAAACTGCTAAACTAATGGTAACTGAATGAATTGCTTGGAAATACTAGGCATCAGTGAAGATGAACAGGAACAAATCATCCAGATCCCTGAAGTGGACCTGTAACTGTAGCTAGTTTCCTTCCATATTTTTACTGTATGCATATTCCTGAAATTTTCAGCTCAGTTGTGCATATTTTTTAGTGACTATTAGAGATCCAAAAGCGCTGTGCATAAGAGGCTATGGCTCAGCACAAAAGCTCTACTCAAGCACAATTCATAACTTAAACCACTGTGTAGCCTTCAGGGCACAGCTAAGTCGTGTACATAGCTTTGACTGCAAGCAGGTGAGCTTATTTTTTTCTGTATCTACAAATATATGAATATTAATTAAATTCTGTGCCATATAACAGGTCTGACTGTAGTATCTTTAATAAAATGTGAGCAAAACTTGTAAACTCGGACCTAGTCATTCACAGTAATTAAAAAGCATTTGTTTTGATGAGATTTATAATATTACATTTTAACTATAAGGATCTGCACTTCTTTTGTTTGGCTAAAATAAAATAAAATAAAATAAATAATAAAATAAAATGAAGGTAAAAATACCTCAAAGAAAATCCATGTCTCAAAACAACTGTGTGATGATAGAAATGAATGACTAAATAGCTCTTTGGGGTTGTGCTGTGTTAGCACTTGTAGTGGAACTAAGGTCTAGCTGAGGCTACTTTAGGACCTTCTGATTTCCTCAGCTGTAGAGGTACCTGCTCAGAGCCCATCATTGTAATAATCTAGCTGGATGCAACTGTTATGCTAAATAGATATTTGAATGTGTTTCAGTGGATATCCTACCGAAGCATTTTGATCAATATGTTCCCCAAAAAGCTCAGCTAAGTGTCTCTTCAGAGTTGGCTACGCTCAGAAAAAATGCAGGTAATGGGCAGGTTTACAATTAATCTTTTTGGTTTTTTGAAGAAAATGCCACATCTGGCAGAAGGAGTCAATATGTCACCAGCCTTCAGAATCAGGCTTGCAGATTCTTTAAAAAAAAATTGGTCTTTTATTTGCTTGTTTGTTTTTAAACCAGAACCCAGCATTTTACATGTTTCTGAAAGATCAGGCCAGACTGTGCCCACTGGTAATTCTCAGGAAAGCTCAGGAGGCTGTTCTCAGAGGAGCAGAAGGGAAATAGCTTTCAAGAGTTCTAGCACCAAAGTCTATATTTAACGAACAAACAAACAAACAAACAAACCAGTGAGGGAGTTAATTGCTCCAATTTCTCCTAAAACATTTACAAAGTTCTCTTCGCCGGAAAACTTTGCAGGCTTTTAACTGAGAGCTAAGACTGTGAAGAGCACTGCAGACAACCTTAACACGTTTGCCTCCCCACCAAAAAACTGCACACAGGTGCTTTGCTAAGCAGCAACGCAGCCAGACTGCTTGGTGTAATTTCACAATGTTCACTGCTGCATGGACCAGTGGCTGCTCTGCAGCAAACGGTGCTCAGCGAAGCTAGGCAGTCAGATAACGCCAAACGAACCCACTGACACTGAAGGATATTAACCTTTTCTGCTAAAAAACAATCAAGTTTCAGGTTTTTAAGTTTTTAACAGCATTACAGAAGGGTTGAGACTGGAAGGGACCTCTGAAGCTCACCTGGTTCAACCCCCTGCTCAAGCAGGGCCACCTAGAGCCGGTTGCCCAGAGTTTCGCGTCATCATCTTGCGTCTCTCGTTGCGGTGCCAGCAACTCAAACATTGGTGTCAGAGTCACACAGACCCTCCCATTCTCTAGCACTCGGTGCAGCGAGCCAACAGAGTTAGAGTTCCTGCCAGGGCTCCATCCTTCTGCGTCTGCAGTCCTGCAAAATGCAGCCGCTGCCCACTCCATGCCCTCTCCCCCTTAAATTTCTGGATGTACAGTATCAGTGTATCTGAGTGTACATTGTAATCTGGGAAAAGCTGTCCATGGTGTTTTGTATGAGGATAGCCCTAATGCTAGAATCAAAAGTGAAACCTCTCTTCTGACTCCAAGTATGGCTTTAGGTGGTTTCTGTTACTGGGTAATGTGACCTTATATCTGTACAGGGTCATAATTTTAGTTTATTTAGAAAGAATATTATTCGATATTAGTGGTACACAATTTTATGTGAAATATCTATATTATTTTATAATTTACATTTTATTTATCTATACTATTAATATTTATATAATATATATTATCTGTATTCTTTTATGTTAATTAGCCCGATTGCAATATTTCTTCATTTTTTTTAAGCATCTTCTTCATTAATGAAAATTTTAAAGAAAATTGTTTCCATTTACAAGATTATAACAATCATTCTTGTTATTACTTTTAGTAGAATTGATTTGGACTTAACTGCCCAGTTTATCACCTATAAACTATTTATAAACTACTGACAGGTTAAAGTATATTTAAAAAGACTGATTTACAGGGGTTTATAGTCTTACCACATCTTGTTTCAGATTCATCTGAACCATCCGGGCAGTCTAAGACTCCATCACAAAATAAATCTTCTGTAATGCAGGTT